AAGAGAGTTCTAATTAGACAATACTAATAATTGTTTCTTAAAATAACAAAAATAGTAATTGAGGGCAATAACAAGAGTTTAAAATATATATTTTTATATTTATATATATTTATAAACAATCTTTAGTATGGCTGCAAATTCAGAGAACTTAGATTATAAAAGCCGTGTCTAGGGTTCTTTATGGTTTGAATGTAAACTGCCCCCATAAGCCCATATATTCAAACATGTGTTCCCTGGCTGGTGGGGCTATTTGGAAGATCATAGAAACTTAAGGAAGGGGAGCTTTCTGGGAGGAAGTGGGTACCTGGTGGTGGGCAGTGAGCACTCATAATCTGGCCCAACTGCCTCTCTGCTATTTCCTGAGTGAACATGCAATTTGGCCACTCACCTGCCACCAAGCCTTTTCTGTCATGATAGACTGTATCCCTTCACACTGTAGGCCAAAATAAACCCTTCCTTCTTTAAGTTTCTTCTTGTCAGGTATTTAGACAGGGGAAAAAATAACAGTAGCTACCATAAGATAAAAGGAGAAAAATGTGATTTTTGCCTATAAAGTGTTTTTAAATAATAATGTGGTTATACTACCACCAACATTGTACTTTATTTAGGATTTGAAACAACAATTATGATTGCCCAAGTGGTAGAAATCTCTTCCCAAGGTGGCAGACAGACTTGGAAGACATCCTCTGAGAGCAGTAGTTAGACAGCTGTCATAGTTCCATCTGAATGACTGGGACACTGGATCATTCTCAGGCAGCCCTATGACAGCAACAGGCGAACAGCCTCAGGAAATGTCTTTTCCTATAGAGACAGTCGCAGGCAGATTTAAGGACAAATGGTGGAGAAGATTCTTCTGCAGACATGACAGGTTTTGAAGGGAAGATGAAGGTGTTGCTGTGTTCAGTGAAGACAGTGCTCCTTATCTTCTCTTGGTCCTGATGATTTCCAAAGTTGTCACTTGCTCTTGGGTGGGCACTTCTGCTGGCAGGGTGGAGGAGGTTGCACAGGAGGGCATTTCTGCTGGCATGGCTGAGGGGGGCATGGCTCAGGGCACTTTGGGGGAGGACAGGGCTCAGGGCACTTTGGTGGAGGACAAGGCTCAGGGCACTTTGGGGGAGGACAGGGCTCAGGGCACTTTGGGGGTGGGCACACAGGAGGAGGCTGGCAGGGCTGTTTGCACTGCTGCTGTTGGTAAGACATCTTGCTGGATTCTTAGAATCTACAAGAAATTACATGACAGTGTTCATAAGAGGTGATCCCCAAAGAGAAAGGAGCTTGAGTTATGGAACATCAGATATTATTTCTCTCCTCAAACACATATATTACTTTCCCAACTCCCATTTACAGACTTCCTGAGCTTTCCCTTAGAATTTAGCAACTTGTTTCACTGGCTTTGAAAACTCTTCTTTTTTTCTGAGAAAATTCCTTTCTGTTCCAAAGAACCAAGTAAGGTTACTTGCACAAAAACAATATCTTCAAGGAAGGCAGTTACAAGTTCTGAAATCCTGATCCATCTCACACTCAATTCATATTGCCATTATCACCTGTGATATCCCAGAAGATAGACTGAGAAAAACAGCAAAGGATGGCTCAGAAGAATCAAAGACTGTAACACCTACTAAGATATAAGTCCTTGGACACCAAAAGAGGTGTGGAAAAGAAAGCAAAAATACTCTTATGGTGTCTTCTTGAAACCAGACCTTCCTGTTAGCATGCTTTTCCACATCGATGTCAACCACCTACCACACAAACACAAAAACAAACTACTTCAGAGAATCAGTGACCTCCTAAATTTCAGACTATTAAGTAACATACATCCCAGGTAACAATTTTGACTTAAAAACTTACCGTCTCCAAACCTGACAGAAGACAAGAATATCAAGAAGGGAAACCAACCCAAGAAATCAAACTCACCTGGGTTTCCAGAGCAGAGCAGGACCTGAGCACCAGAGGTATGGCAACCATGCCCCATGCACCTCTTTATAGGCCTGGCTGCCCCACCCAGTGGGAAGTGCAACTGCCTGATTAGTGGGAAGGGCCAAGGATGTCCTAATAGAATGCAAATCCATCTATAACTCGCTTGATGATTGTGACTTTGCAAAATAGGAAATAACTTGTTCTTGGACATTATCACTGGATTAAGAGCTGTGACTCAGAGAACCTTCCTTTCCTCTGTTTCAGGAACTGCTGACAATTGAAGTTGGGGAGTTCTCTAGATGTCAAAACTCTTTCTTGATTTATGAGAATATCTCTTTCTGTCAGCTTCCAGAAGCTCTCTAACCTATATGTTCTACTGCAGCTGTTTTTGTTCTGTGGTACGCAGATTTATTCACTTGCATCCTATAAAGAGGAAAAAGACAGAGGAAACCTAAGTTCTCATCTCAGCTCCATCTTTGACAATGCTAGTCAGGTAATTTCTCACCCTAGGTTTAAATCCTTCTCTAAGAACAAGGAAAATAATACCTGCCTCTCGGAGTGGGTACTGACAGCATTGGGACATCTCTTTCTCTATCTGTTCGAGCCTGAAATTTTCTCACCTTCTTTCTTTGATCCCTGGAACCTAAGATTTGACCTATATTATCTGCCTGTGGAAGCCGTTATCACCACACTCGGAGCAGTGCTGCTCTCTGAGGACAGATTTTTATTTCAGAGTGAAACCAAGCATCCTCGGTATACTCCTCAGAAAGGTGTGCTTGCAACCTTTCAATTTTTATGACATACACTTAACCCATGAATAACATAAGTAGATTCACAAGGATTCATTCAGAACTCACTTAGCGAATCACACTTCTGTGGTTCCTTGTGAGGCGTAGACGCGCATCAACAGACGCAAAGGATAAAGAGTAGCTTTGAGTACAGAGAGGTTTAGCGCGTTGAAAGCCTGAGAGGGTGGGGTCAGAGTATGCGAATTTACCTCAGACCCATATGCGTGCTTTCTCTCATTCTTTTTCCAAATAGATTTCTAAGTCTATGAAAGGAAGTATTTGAAAATTGGTTTTCATGAAGGTTGAATCTGTTTTCTCCCTACGCCCCAACCTTGCCACCTTCCACAGCCCTCTCACTACCACATGGACCGAGCGTCACAGGCTGAGACCAAGTAACCCTCTTGTCTGTGTAATTTTCTATGTCTTTCTCAATGAAGAAACAAGTTATCAATGCATTTGGGGGTCCAAGTCCTCTCACATCTCTTTAGACTTCCTACGATCAAAGAGGTGACTGCAAATAGCAAATTAAATGTTTAAAGTGATGTTGCTAGAACCTTGTCTTGATAAGTGATCATGAAGCTTTCATTAAAAAACAAGAATATTGTTTTCTAATTGGAGGAGAAAGAACAAGAGAATGAGGAAAAGGAACTCAAAGTCCCTACCCTGGTCACAGCTGCAGTACTGAGAAGTGCACGGCGCTGAATCAGCCGCAGTCAGGCAGCTTAGGGTCCAGGACTGTTAATGCTTCTGACAGGAGGGAAGGGTTTAACCATGAGTGTCACTGGTTATGTCCCTATAGGAAAAGACTCATCACTTCAGCACCTGAGGCCAGGTGGTGACAAATGCCAGCATCACCGGATGAATTATATGGGCTAGTATATATTACACGGGAAAAGTCAAGAGCCTTTACTGAGTAGGAAACATTACTTCCCATAGCCTTACATCACACCTAAGGCATTATCCTAATGAAATGCCTGGTTTCTGCTATCTAAAATTAGAAAGTTAGCTGAAAAACTGGGGGTATAGTACCAGCTAACACAGTTTTGGTTGCACTTGAGGCTCTTCTGAATATATCCCACTCAAAAAGATATCATGTTAAAGGAAATAAGCAAGTCTCCAAAAGACAAACACCAGATATTTGCTCCCGTGTGTTGAATAGAGAGGGTAAGGGTAATATATACCATATGCACCTGCAGAAGTACCATAACGAAACCCTTTAGTTCTTATAATTAATATATGCTAATAAAATTGTTTTGAAATAGGAGCTACTGACCATGATGGCACCGGCACCAAGGTCAGAGCAGCCCTAGTCTCTCCCAGGCTGAGGTGCAGAAGCTGAGCACTCAGAGTTGCTCCCACATCAGCTACATGAAGAGCTTCCAGGGGGGAATATGGGCACACTTCAAAGTTTCTCCGAGTATGAACCTCCAAACCTGAGACATGGAACAGATACACATGTGTACACACATGAACACCCCCCACACACAAGGATCCTATTTATCATCTTTCATCCATTTAAGCATCTAATAAACCTAGCTTTATGATCTTTAAAAGTCAAATAGCCCTAGGCAACTGGGAACCTCAATCCTGATATTCTAAAGACTTTTACTCATCAGTTGTTTGTCAAAAACTACAGGCCTGAAACTGGGTATAGAGGCACATGCTTTTAATCCCAACACTCTGGAGGCAGGTGCAAGCCTGTCTCTGTGAGATTCAGGCCAGCCTGGTCTACATAACAAGTTCCAGGCTAGCTGGGGATACAGAGAGACCCTGTTTTAAAAGAAAAAGAAAAAAGTACAGGCCCGAACAGCAGTTTTACTATTTTTCTAGCTCTTGATTTAATTTCATATTTTACTACTATATATTATATGCCCTTAAACATATATAAAACAGTTCCTGAAAAATCAAGATTCCATACTAACATATACAGGATATAAATACAGGAAACAGGCAGGATAGTCTCCACATGTCCGTAGAAATGGCATCTGCAAACCACCTTGTGTTTTGGCTTTCCTCTAAATGCTGAATATGAGACTCATTTTCCATCGTCACTTCTTAATCTTGCTGAATCTTACAAATTATGGGACAAATATATGGTACAATTCTTAAGATCTTTAAAAGAAGATGTCTTGGAAGTTTATAAAAACAGTTATAATATTTAAGCAGGATGCTATTTTGGTTATCACACATTCATGAAAGATAGAAAAGGCAAATAATTTGTTAATGTTATCATTTTAGCAAATTATTTTTATATTCTATATTTCTTACCAAAATATTCTCCACTAAAGTGCTCATTATCTAATGAACAAATTAAAACTGTCATAAAATGCATGAGGGAACATAAGTTACTCTAAAATAAGAATGTGAATTTCTGTTGCAACCACATGCATTAGACATAGACTGCATGATCTCATGAGTTTTAGAATCTGAAAAAGGTGATCTCAAGAGAAGTTGATAGAATAATGGTTACCAGAGGCTAGAGAGAGTAAGGAGGAGAGAAGGACAGGAAAAACTTGGCAGATGGGTACTAAGTCACAGTTGGATAGGAAAAATAAGTTCTGGTACTCAGCTGTACCTTAGGGTGACTGTACATACACATAGTATATACTTTGAAAGAGCTAGAAGGAAAGATTTCAAATGTTTTCATCACAAAGTAATGATGCACATTCCAGGTGATAGATGTGCTTGCCCTGATTTCAACATTACAGGATAGATTAATGTATGGAAACATCTCAGGTACCCATAAACATGTACAATGTAATGGAATACTACTCACCCATTGACAGGAATGAGGCCCTTCCAAAAAGATGTATAAATCTTTAAAACTTCATGATAAGAGAAATAAGTCAAATACAAAGGACAACAATTTTGTGATTCCATTTATATGAAGTACAGAGTTTAGAAAAATTCATAGAAACAGCATCTAGGGTGGAAGTTATCAAGGGCTGATGAATGAGAAAAGGGAATTTGTTTTTCAGTGGGCACAGAGTTTCTGCCTGGGATGATCAAAACTCTCCAGAAAGAGTAACTGATTGCTGCATAGCTCTCTAATTGTGGTTCATAGCGCCAAACTTCTTGTTTGGCTTTTTGTTTTGTTTCATGTATGGGGGTATATGTAAATACATGTTCCTTTGTGGGTGCACATGTATGTGTTGTATGTTTACATGTGTGCACATGTATATGGAAGCTAGAGGTCAAACGGGTATCTTCTGAGATTTTCCACCTCATTTTTGGAGTTAGGGTCTCTTCACTGAATCTTGAACTCACCAATTAGACTAAACTGACTGGCCAGCAAGTTTTATAGGTCTGCCTGTCTTCCTCTCCAGACCCATGGTTACAGATGTGTGGTGCTGTGTTTTGCTTTTATGTGGTTCCTTGGATCTAAGCTCAGATCCTTTTGCTTGCATGGAAAAACTTACTAATTGAGCCATCCACCAGACAACAAAATGGTTTCTGGTTAAACTTTTATGCTTAATTAATTTTACCATGTTCTTT